TAACCTTTCTGATCTGTCTAATGAATATATAGAGTGCAATGAAGAATAAGGTGGAATTGAAGAAGGAGCCTCAGTCTTCTTTCATCCTTTTTATTCTACTTTTCCCAGACATAAATATGGTGCAAATAGCCCCTCACTTACTGAGAGCCCACTAAAGGACTTACGATCTGTTTATTAAGGAGATGATTAAGGAGTCAGGAATTTTTCCTGAAATCTCAATTTTGAAAGACAAAGCCTTACACTTTCTCTGTCGAGTAGGGACTGTGTAATTTTTAGGAGTATTAGAAAAAATATTAGGGGGTGAGCAGTGGATTGACGCACCATAGTCACAGTCCTCGTATGTCTGAGATTTGAGGTACTTAAAATCCTGCTAATTGGTCTGTTGTAGAACCCACAGCCTTTAATACTCTGTGTAATATTCGTATTAGAAACAGCTAATTTCAGCATTATTAAAAGTTACATATTTTAAAACATGACTTTCCATGAAACTACTTTTGTTGGGTCATGAATTTATAGAATACATTTTTGTTCTCAAAGCATTGTCACTGTTACCTTAGAACAATCCCTAAAAGAATCCTGTATTGTCCTCATTTTGCCAGAAAACAAACGGAGCCTCAGAGAGTGAATTGACTTGCTTACATAAATAGTAAGAGGTCAAGTCAAAACTGGAACGCCAACGTATTCTACTTATAATTTTAAATAATCTCTAATCACTGTCGATCAAGGATTTTTGTTTTGTTTTGATTTTTTTTAGTGTTTAAACGTATTTTTTTAAGACGTTAAAGTAAGCTTTTGACTTACAATGTCTCAGATCTCTAGCATCTCCTGTCTGATTCGTTTAATCTTGTCATGCATCAGTTATTCAAGCCGATTGTGATCAGTTTTGTTAAATAACTTATTGTTGTGGGTCTTTTCCTTCCTCAATAATCTGTGCCCAGGCTCATACCAGGGTGGGAGCAGATACCTCTCAGGACATACAGCTCTTTGGCATAGGAATTCAGGCTGAGCACTGTGAGATTGACATTGCATCTGATGGGGATGTGTCTCTTACTCCAAAAGAAAACGCAAGGTAAGAAAAGCCAGCGGCTGCTTACCATGTCTCGGGTGCTTCATTTTCAGGAGAAGACTCCCCCCTTTTTTTGTTTGCTTCAGTTATATCAAAGTCAAGGATACACTGGATCAGCAGGGGGATTTGTTTTCCTGGTGTAGAGAATGATGGAACAACTATTTAAGAACACTATCTTTGGGATCTTCTATAAAGGTTTACGGTCCTGGAAACCCTATGGGGCAGTTCTGCGCTGTCCTGTAGGGTCGCCATGAGTCAGAATCGACTCAGCAGCAGTGGGTTTTTGGTGGGCTTTGGGATCTGGGAGATTCTGCCTTGACTGGCTGTGTGATCTTGATACGTCCTTATCTAAACTTCAGTTTCCTCATGTGCTAAATGGGGTTAATAGTGCCTACTTCTTAGGAATTTCTAAGATTAAATAAAGTAAAACTTACCAGTCACTTGGCTCAATGCCTGACGTACGTAAATACGGAATAAAATTAGTTGATGTTATTCAGTGTAATGTGTAAGAGAACAGTTAATCTGGACTAAACCAAAAGCTAAAAAGTTTCCTGAATACAACCAAACACTTCGATGGACAGAGTAACAGGGGTGGGGTTCTGGGGACCATGGTTTCAGGGGGCATCTAGTTGGCATAACAAAGTTTATTAAGAAAATGTTCTGCATCCCATTTTGGTAAGTGGCATCTGGGGTCTTAAAAGCTAGTGAGTGGCCATCTAAGATACATCAATTGGTCCCAACCCACCTGGAGTAAAGGAGAATGAAGAACACCATGGACACAAGGAAAGTATTAGCCCAAGAGACAGAAAGGGCCACATAAACCAGAGACTTCATCAGCCTGAGACCAGAAGAAGTAGATGGTGCCCGGCTACCATCAGTGACCACCCTGACAGGGAATACAACAGAGAGTCCCTGATGGAGCAGAAAAGTGGGGTGCAGAACTCAAATTCTAGTAGAAAGACCAGACTTAATGGTCTGACTGAGACTGGAGGGACCCTGGAAGACATAGCCCCCAGACTCTCTGTTAGCCCAGAACTAAAACCATTCCTGAGGCCAACCCTTCAGACGCAGATTAGACTAGACTATTGGACATAAAATGATACTCATGAAGCGTGTGCTTCTTAGTTCAAGTAGATACATAAGACTAAATGGGCAGCTCCTGTCCGGAGGTGAGATGAGAAGACAAAAAGGGACAGAAGCTGGTAGAATGGGCATGAGAAATCCTGGGTGGAAAGGAGGAGTGTGCTTTCACAGTATAGGGAGAGCAACTAGGGTCACATAACAATGTGTGTATAAATTTTTGTATGAGAGAGACTAACTTGAATTATAAACTTTCACTTAAAGCCCAATTTAAAAAACAACAGTTAATCATATAACTCCATTGCACAAACATTTCCTAAAACAGGCCGTAATATGTAAAAATTTGAGAATCGGGAGGATAGTATATATTTTTTTTATTTCTATTAAGTGATGTCTTGAATTATTTTACAATCAGGTATAAAGTTTAAACAAAGTCTATAAGATATTAACACAATTTCGTTTAGAGCACTGTACTGCTTATAAGGACAACATTACATTCATTTCAAGTTTTTCTGTTAATATAGGCCATATTAATTTCTAAATGATGAAAAACTGAGCTAACAATAATAGCATACACAGTTCATGAAAGTGTGTGTTATAGTGATATCGTTGTTAAGATATTCTTAAGATACTTACCGGTACAATGATACTATTCCTTGATTTTTTTTTATTCTGAATTCAAATAGTCTTTAGTTGTCATACACGGTACCTGCCTGTTATGAAAAGAAAGGGTCAAAATTGGCTAAAGAGCTTCTTTTCAGTGTTGCAGTTGGGAACACTGGTAGCCTTGGGACACGCAGGTACCCTAGAGCTGTGGGGATGGAAGAAAAATGTGCAAAACCTGCGGAAACAGATTGTCAGGCCTTTCTCCCTCACATCTGCTGGATGGGTTCAGACTGCCAGCCTTTTGGTTATCAGCCAAGTGCTTAACCACCACGGCTCCTTTGAGAGATGCTGTCTGCCTTGTTATGCTTGTCTAGATCCTGTATTCTGTAGTGTTTACAAATGGTGATCTTCTGTTATTACTTCTCCGTGTGTTGGTTGGAATACTTCTGTTAAGAAGAGGTTCCCCGGTTACCTCTTTGGCTCCCAGAGCTGGTGTTCGTGCCTCTTACCCACCATCTTCCCTGTGTTCCCTCAGGTCCTGCGTAAATGGCACCCTCGTGTGCAGCCCCACCCCGCTGTGGCACGGCGATCGGATCCTGTGGGGAAATAACCACTTTTTTAGGTAACATCTTTGTGTTCAGTAATAGTGTCGTATAAAATTTTCACGTTACC